GACAATTCCAGTTACACTACCATGACATGACCCTAACATCCTGACATGGCAAAACACGTCACGATCAAACATGAAAACATGGCCCAAGCAAACCTGGACCACGGAGTGCATGGAAAGCCGGCACAGTACAGGTCAAATTCAGGCATCTCTTCAAAACCGTTTGACGTCTTCTCATCTGCGCCCACACATCTGGCCACCATGTCTGATGTCAACCACATATCAGGCTTGGCGCTCTTGTAGTTTCTCTCCAAGAAACGAATCGCGTGGGCATCCCTCTCCTCATACCCAAATTCATGGCCAAGTAATATCACACATGATGGTGTTGCCCCAAAATATGTTCACTTCATGGACCAAGTTTCACAAGCTCCAACCAGCGTCACCTTGAACTTCAGTCTGCCACCGGAATGGGACTCCAACTCACCGAAGACTTGCCTGGGTGTAGCTTTAAATTACGAATACAGACTCACAACACCCAAAAGAACAGTCAGATCTAAGAAACCTTAGCGCCAGGGTCTCTGAACTCATACCCGCGCAATCAGACCAAAGCTTGAACTCCAGGGGCTCCTACGCTGTTCTAAGCACGAACTGAAGAATCATGACATGCGCATGAACAATTGTCAATTGGCCTGTGTCTCAACAAACGCCCTTATCCTCTAATGCAAGCTCAGGATTGGCAGCCACCACCATGTTTGCCAATGCTTCTGCCCATGGTGGACTGTTGCCAGTGTCCCCATCCCACTTATAGACGTCATCATCCTTTCGTTCCTGCGTGAGTTACTCACAGAGTTATATATAATTATGCAATCTCAAGGCAAACCGTTGCCTACTTCAGTAAACCGGAATCCAATCCCGCCTTGTCATGATTGCTAGCTATTGCCAGCCTGGCCCCTTCCCCAGCCAACACAGCAGCACCACTTGGAGCCTTCTTTGCCTTGGCCTTCGCCTTGACTTTGGTCGCAGGTCGGTGATCTGGAGCTGCTGCCGGCCGCTTCATGAATAAACCACCAAGTTCCTGTACCACCAAATTGTGACTCTAAGACTCTCAGAGCAAAATCATGGCCGCGACAATCACCAATACATGGACAACCGATGTGAGGAATGGCAACATGCCGCATCTATGATACATGATCATGACACCAAGGCTCATGGCAACATGGGAGTCCCATCACGGCAACATGCTTTTTACATGGACAACCGAGGTGAAGAATGGCAACATGACGCACCTATGACACATGATCATGGCAACAAGGCTCATGGCAACATGGGAATCTCATCATGGCA